AAGAAAAAAGCAGTATCTGCGAAATGCAATCAAACGAGAAAACCAAAAAACCAAACTCACTGCCGTGGAGTCGGACCCAACTCATAGCGACCCCTCCTTGGGTTTCCGAGGTGGTATCTGGACGGAAGTAGATTGCTCAGTCTTCCTTCTGAGGAGTGGCTGGTGGGTTTGAATAGCCAGGCTTCTGGTCAGCAGTCAAATGCCTTAGGCACTACGCCACCAGAACGAGGTACGTCTGTAATTCCCTAGTCATTTATGTGCTCCTTTCCTAAAGAAAAAAACAAAACAAAAAACCAAACACACTGCCGTGGAGTGGAATCCGACTCATAGCGACCCCTCCTTGGGTTTCGGAGGCAGTATCTCTACGGAAATAGATTGCCCAACCTTCCCTCCGACCAAATAGTTAGCAGCTAGTGTCAAACCTGATCTGATCAGCAGGGGGCGCGCATCACCCATAATTGAACTTCACTCCAGTTCCTCTTCCAGACTGCGCTGACTCTAGAAATCTGCTTGTAGAACAGGGGGGAGGTGAAGTTGGTCTTTTTGGGAGACAGCTTTTGGGGTCAGAGATGCTTTCTCTGGTAGGGGACCTGAGTGGCTCCAGAGAATAAGAACAAAACTGGCTTCGAGGGAGGGAGTTGAGTGCTGACTGCCTCTCATATGTTCTCCTTCCCTCTGTCCCTGAACAAACTCCCTTCCTCTCGAGCTGAAATTTCCCCTTGCAGGTAGCGCGCACAGCACACGTGTTGCCTCTGTTCAGCACGCCCCATGTACCTGGGAAGGATGGGGGTGATCCTCACGCAGGCTGCACTGTGGAATCACCTGGGAGCTTTCAAGAATCCTGGTGCCTAGGCCACACTCCAGACCAAGTAAATCTGAACTCGGGGTGGGGTGGGGTGGGGGAATCCAGGCATCGGTATGTGAAAACCCTCCAGGTGGTTCCGGTGTGTAGCCAGGGCCTCGCGCCCTGCGTGGGAGCCTGCTGAGCCTCTCCCATTATTGGCCCAAATGAGCTTGTCAAGTTAGCAAGGTCACATGGGAGGGGAGAGGCTACTATAGTTTCCAAATTTTAGTCCACTTACAAGTCCCCCGGGAGAGGGGATGATCACTCGGAGGAGCGGGAGTTGTTGGAATCGTACACTTCCAAGTCCCACCTTCTGAGATTTTGATTCCAGAGGGTGGGGTGGGGACCCAGAGTTGCATTTTGACAAGCTTCTCTGGGGAGTCTAATCCAGGTGGTCCTCACGTGAAGAAACACTGACAGAGGGGCTCTGAGAGGAGGAGGGATGTGGGGGCTGCCGTCCTAGGTGGGTGCTCCTGGCTAAACGTAAGGCCAGGGAGCTCAGATCAGGGCAGAGCGCGGGTGGGACCTGGACCCGACCCCAGGAGCAGCTGGGGAAAAGTCTTGTGACTTGCACACTAGCGCCCTCTGCCTTTCTGAATTTTGCCTCCAGCTGGGGATCCTCAAAAAGAGCTCTGGTTGCATAGTGGGTATAGCATTTGTCTGCTAACCCAAAGGTCAGTGGTTCAAACCCACTAGGTGCTCCACAGGAGAAAAGATGAGGCAGTCTGCTTCTGTGTAGACTTATAACCTTGGAAACCCTGTGGGGCGGTTCTACTCTGTCCTTTATGGTCACTGTGAGTCTGGAGTCGACTCGATGGCAGTGGGTTGGTTGGTTTGGGGGCCTCAGGCTCAGCTGGGCTCTCCTGCCTCTTCTCAGATGCTCCAGCTTAGACTTCAGAACAGGCCACCAGGGCCCAGTGGTTGCGGGGGCAGACCCCTCCTGGCCTGGGTTTTGCAGCAGAGCCTAGAGCTGGCTCATTGCAGTGGCTGCTGGCTGGGTGACCAGTCCTGATCTGCCCACTCTCTGCCTGCACCCACTGTCTGGTGTCACAGAGTGTCAGAGGTACCAGGTGGAGAGCTGGAGCCCCCTGACCTGTGATGCCACCCAGCCACATCTGAGTGTCTCCTGTGATGGGAGTTCTCTGCCACCAGGCAGTGTCCGTGTCCCAGTGTTCCTCCTGGACTGAGTTGAGAGCTGTCTTTCTGCAATCACCGTCCATGGGTCGCAACACTGCCCTTTCAGCCCCACAGGGTTAGTGCTACTTGATCTAGAAGATGACCTTCCACATTTGTGAGGGCAGCTCTCTCAGATCTTTGAAATGTCCTCTTCTCGGGCCAAATGTGCTCAAAATGGTATATTCTGGAACTCACATTAACCAATATATCACTTAAAGTGTGGTCTGTTTCAGCCCCTAATGTTTTCCTTGTGGACTCTGGCCCTTGTTTCTAAGCCTGCTTTATAGATCTGCCTGTCATTCATTTGCTTATCCATCCATCCATCCATCATTCATCCATCCATCTATCCATTCATCCACCAGCTGTCATCCACCCACTGAAGCCTAGGATGTTCCAGGTATTGTGATAGGTACTGGGGAAGCAACAGTGAACAAGGACATGACCCTTGACTTCTCTGAGTTCATGGTTGGGGAACCAACAAGTAAACAGGCCCCTACAATACAGTCCTCCCTGGAAATTGGGAGGAAACAGAAGGTTCAGTCTGTACTGGTGGTGCCTGGTGGCTACTGCTGTGGGCTGGATCCCACAGAGGAAAGGAGAACACAGGAGTCCTGAAGGAGGGCTTCTGGAACAATCTGAAATTGTAACAGAGCATCAACTACCCATGCAGAGGGAGCTCTGGTGGCACAGTGCCTAAGGCATTAGACTGCTAACCAGAAGGCTGGCTGTTCACCCACCAGCCGCTCCTCAGAAGGAAGGTGTGGCAATCTACTTCCATAGAGATACCACCTTGGAAACCCAAGGAGGGGTCGCTATGAGTCGCAATCGACTCCACAGCAGTGAGTTTGGTGGTTTTTTGGACCCATGCGGAAGAGGAAAGGGAGATTCTGAGTAGGAATCACGGGCCGTTGACCAAGCCTCTAGTGTATTCCGGAAGCTTCTTCTCCTGAGCACTTTCCTCACGTGCTCCATGTGTTTTAATCCTCCTGGGAACCTGGGGGAGGACAGGGTCCTCCTCCTTCTTTTATGGATAAGGCCACACAGCCAGGAGGTGGCAGAGTCAGGACCAGTTCCGTCCGGCTACATCGCCCTGCAAGGACAAAGAGAGAGATGTGAATGAAATGGCATTTTCTAGCATTTCATGATTTACATAGAAATCTTACAGCTTGTGTTATAAGAAATCTTAATAAAATCTTAATTAAATGCCTTACTCAAATCTTAATAAAATCAGCAAGGAAGAAGAGTTTCATTGCCACAGAGAAACTCTCCTTGTGCACTGTGTGAGTGGCTTCTGGACCCTTGTTCTGATTCAGAGTTTGGGCTGTGAGTGGAGGACAGAAGGGACGAATGGGGTCGGAGTCTGGGGTGGGCTCTGAGGGGCTTTTAATCTTTCCTGTGGCAGTGCAGACAGCAATAGGGTAAACTGAGAATTCATGTGAAGACAGACGCTGGTTGATCTGCGCCTGGGCTATTTGGGCATTGCCGGGGTCACTGATGGTTGCAGTGGGCTTCCCCAGGGTCCTTGGCCCTGGCTGGCTGCTGTGGCTAGGCAGGGCCGTCCAGGACTCCATAAATGCTTTGTGGGGTGCTTAGTGCTTGTCAGAGCTGTAGTGAACCCCATCTGCTTGGTCCCCACTTCTAGAAGCCAGCAGTCTTGAGGAGATGGAAGCAGAGAGAGAGGATTCCGTGAGAACCCTCCCCGCTCCGTAAGACGATCAGGGATCATGAATAATGGAGAGAAAACCCAGGCCCTGTACCCTGAGAGCTTGGCCTACAGGGGCCCTGCCCTTCTCTGGAGGCTTCTGCACTGGGGCCCTGGGTCGCTATTGACAGCCCTCGCTATTAGCTATGAGGCTGGGGTGCCCCACGGTGGGAAGCCCCTACCTGCTGCCAGGGTGGCCTGGAGGGGTACTGGGTGGCTTTCTGCTGTGAGGCCAAGTAAGAAGCATGCCAAGGGCCTGATGTCACCTGATTCTCCAGGAGGGGAGGAGAGAGGCCGCTGGGGTGGGGTGGTGAATAAGGAGGACAGCCTGCCCTCAGTCCTCATGAATAAATGATAAGGCTCAAGGAGAAAGCCCGGACAGGTGAAGAGGAGGAAGATGAGTAGGAGGAGGAGGAGGAGGAAGAGGAGGGGGAAGCTTGCATAAGGGCAGCAGAGGAGGGGAGAGGACCAAAAGGGCAGAGAGAAAGCACTAGTTGCCCAGGGGCCAGTGAGGAGGGAGGACACCACAGCCACGATCTGGGCACCAGGGAGCTAAGACAGGCCACTCCGGTGCCCCCAGACCTGAACTTCAGGAGGTGCCCCTGAGTGGGGGCCAGAAATAGGGCACTGCAGTCTTGGGCAGGTGTGACAAGGTGACCCAGTGAGCCAGGACCACCGAGGGCCAGGAAGGAGCAGCTGGCAAGATGATGCCCCAGAAGAAAAAGAGGAAGAAAGACATCAACTTCTTGGCCCTGTACGAGGAGGAGCTGCTGACCTACGCCTCTGATGATGACAACGAGGAGCTGGAGCACGAGTATTACAAGGCCAAAGGTGTGGGGCTCCCGGAGGGGTTCACACGGGGCAGGGCGGGTGGCTCGGAGGATCACGTTCCTTGCTTGGGAGGAGCAATTTTAGGATCCCAACCCACCCCCTTTGTCACCAGTTATCCTATTTGGTCTGAGCTACATGCCCTGGGTGCAGTACTTAATACCTAGTAGGCGTTATGCTGAGCTTGGTGGTTTGGTGATGGATTCTCACCTTCCATGCAGGAGACACAGGTTCGAGTCCTGGCCAAGGCATCTCATATGAAGCCACCAGCCGTCTGTCAGTGGAGGCATGTGTGTTGCTATGATGCTGGACAGGCAGGTTTCAGTGGCGCTTCCAGACTGAGATGGACTGGGAAGAAAGACCTAGAAATCTGCTTCTGAAACTCAGCCACTGAAAACCCTTCGGGTCACAATGGTCCATTCTGCAGCCCATCATGGGACTGTCACAGGATCGAATAGCATGCCGTTCCATTGTGCGTGGGTGACTTGCAGCAACTAACACCACCAATAATAGGCATATGCTAGGGTCCCCATTGTGCTCTCAGTCACAGAGTCTTATGTACAGATTAGGCTAGAACTACAGGGGCCGACTCGACGGCAAACAACAACAACAACAACAGTGGCTGCATTCTTTAATTCCAACATGTCCCAGGAACTATGTTCCAGCCTGATCTCCCATGGATGTGGTCTGTGTCGAGCAAAGGGCCCTAAACTGCCTGGACTATGAAGGGGTGTTTTTTGGGAAAAAGCCAGACGCCTCGCCCTGTGCCTAGCAGCGTTGGGGTCTGCTGCCACTACGGCTAACGGAGGTGGGGACCCTGGTGCTTTGCAAGGAGCCCTCCTGGCCCGTGTGTGAAGGGCAGTTGGTGCTCACAGCGCTCACAGCTGGGCTTAAGCTGCCCTGTAGCTGTCAAGCTGTCACTTTCCCCATTCTAGAAGTCCCTGAGTGATGCAAATGGTTACTGTGCTCATCTGCTAACCAAAAAGGTCAGGGGTTCGAGTCCACCCGGAGGCACATCAGAAGACAAGCTTGGTGAACTACTTCCAAAACAGCAGCCCGAAACCCGACGGAGCAGAGTTCTGCTGTGACACACACGGAGTTGATGGGGCGGAATTGACTCCAAGGCAACTGGGCTGGACTGGACAGCCCTGGAAAGACGGTCTCCCATTCCCTCTGAGTTCCGAGTTCTCGTGCCATGTGGAGAATCTTGGTGATGGTGATGAGGAGGAAGGAGGAGGACTAGAGGGAAGGTCTAGGTCTTCTTCACTGTCCTCTAGCTGTCCTGTTCTTGAGCTTCATGTCAGTGGGGTCATACAGGATGCATACTTTGACGTCGAGCGACTTTCACTCAGCCTTGTAGCTGAGAGGTTTGTCCAGGCTGCGATGTGCTGTGGAGTTTCATTGTTGGGTAGCCTTGCATTTTACAAACACACTATGATTTATTTTACCTTTTGATCATTGATGGGTGTTTGGGCTGTTTCCAGTTTTTAGTGATTCTGAAGGAAGCTGCTACAAATCGTGCACACGTTTGTTAATGGCTGTGTATATTGTTGTTATGTGTATGAAATTTTCCTGGATTTATACATAGAGGTAGAATTGCTGGGTCATTGGGTTTGCATCCATTCAGCTTTAGGAGATATCATCAGTCCATTCATCCACTTGTTGATGGACATTTGAGTTGTCTCCAGTTCGGAGCTGTTATAGATAAAGTTACTATGAACATTCATATGCAGGCTTTACATGGATATGCTTTCATTTCTCTTGGGTAAATATCTGAGAGTGGAATTTCTGGGTCTTATGGAAGTGTTATACATAGGGTTTTTGTTGGCTAATTTTTGGAAGTTGATCATCTTCCTAGTCTGTCTTCTTGGTCTGGAAGCTCTGTTGAAACTTGTCCACCATGGATGACCCTGCAGGTTGTGCAAATACCAGTGGCATAACTTCTAGCCTTATAGCAACGCACAAGCTACCACAGTGTGACAAAGTGACAAGACTGGGCAAAGTTCTGTTGTTCTAAATAAGGCTGCCATGAGTCAGAACCAATTCAATGGCAACAAACAACATGGTAAGTGTATGTTTATCTTTTCAAGGAAATTTTACCTGCTTTATAAAAAAGGATGGTCTCTTTTCTTTTTGATTTGTGTGAATTCTTTAGATTTTCTGGGTTTGTAGTCTATATTGGATATATGCATTCCAAATATCTTCTCCTAGTCTGCTGATCACATTTTTCATTCCTTCGATGGTCTTGTTTTCAATGAAGCCCAGTTGATCAAGCTTTCCTTTTACAATTGGTGCTGTATGTGTTCTGTTTAACAAGTAGCTGTACCTTTGCAACAGCTATTGAACATCCCAGGCTTTCCTTTTCTCCAAGCCCAGTATCTCCAGGCCTCTGCATCTTCAGTCATGTGCTGGGGTTCTAGAATCCCCTGGACTCTCTCCTTTGGACATGTGGGTAGAAAATACCCTCGTGTATGTGAAAGGCTATGGGCAAAGCTCCAGGTCCTGGAGCTGTGCCGATCAGGGTGAGGGTAAGGGATCCTGACTGTTTACACTTTACGGATCAGGCATCTGGTGATGTAGACTGTGAAGAATTAAGAGTTTGGTTGTCACATATGACACAGAATCGAGTAAATATACTGTATCATTTCTCTCTCACATGCTGTCTCTATGGGGACCTTCATCAGAACCAGGGACATCAGGAGGTCCACCTGCCCCCCAACATCCCTGCACCTAGCACATCGTGGGCCTGGAAGGAGCCCATTAGAATTAGAGTTGCCTCCAAGGAGCTTCTGGAATGCATGTGCAAGTTAATCGAGCTAATACTCTATTCATCAAAGGAATGAGCTGTTAGCTTCTGGAGCTGAAATTGGCTTCTCAGTATAAACAATAGTTATTAAAAAGGCTACCATTTATTATATTCTATGTGCCAAGGGCTTTACAGACTTCATCTCTTCTCCCCAGCACAGCCCTGCAAACCAGGTATCATTGTCTAGGTTTTACAGACAGGCTGGTAGTGGGCCAGGGTCACCTGGCTCATAAGTGGAGGGCCAGGGTTGCACCCAGGTCTTTGTGGTACTGAAGTCCAGAACTCTCCAGCAGTCCACTCTGGCTCATGGCATGCTGAGGGTGAAATGAAGAGACTCTGTAAAATGCCTGCCACAGTGCCCAGCACACAACAGGTGCCCAAGGTACTCATATTCTCCACCTCCACTGCCATCTTCTTCCCTGTCCCCACCCCCCAACCACACACTCTTTGCCATTTGCACCCAGGGCAGACCCCCTCTGTGGAATGGGCTCTGATTGGGTAGGTCTGAATAAGGATTGTCTAAGCCCACTCAGCTGGGCATCTTAAAAACAAAAACAAAAACAAAAACACCCAGCAGACCAGTTGCTGTCAACTCATCAAGACCCCATGAGGGCAGAGTAGAACTGCTCCACTGGATGTTCAAGGCTGGGCCCTTTCAGAAGCAGATCGAGGCCTTTCTTTCAAGGGGTCTCTGGGTGGTTCAGCTCAAATATACTCAACAACCTGTTGGGGGAAGGTACTTCCCTGCTCTGAAAGACTGGAAAGTAGCAGTAATTGTAGGCTTGCTTTAATAATTAAGTGCAATAACATATATAAAGGCCTAAGCTCAGGGACATGTTGTTGTTATGTGCCATCGAGTCAGACCCGACTCACAGCGACTCCTCGTTGGGTTTCTGAGGCAGTATCACTACAGAAGTAGATTGCCCCATCTTCCTTCTGAGGAGTGGCTGGTGGGTTTGAACCACTAGCCTTCTGGTTAGCAGTAAAATGCCTTAGGCACTGCGCTACCAGAGCTCCTGCTCAGGGACATAGTAGGCATTTAATCAATAAATATTGTGGTTTACTATATTTACTAAGTATTGAAAAAAACAAACCAAACTCATTGCTATCGAGTCGCTTTCGACTCATAGCCATTGGGTTTCTGAGGTGGTAAATTTTTACAGAAGTAGATTGCCCCGTCTTCCTTCCGTGGAGTGGCTGGTGAATTTAAACCACCAACCTTCTGGCTAGCAGTCAAATGCCCTGGGCACTGTGTCACCAGAGCTCCTTTTACTAAGTATTATAATTAATAAATTCTCATGATGCAGTGGGCATCTGTTCTATGCCCCAACTATTTCAAGCAACCTCCCCACATTTTGTTGGTTCCCCACCTTATATGTTCTAGCTTCCCAACATGCAACCTTGTTTTTTTTTTTTCCTTCATTTTTTGCTACAGGCTTATGCTTTAGGTTCCCTCAATCAGCTATTCCAGGGCAGGACTTTGACTCAGAAGTGAGCCATGTCACAGACCAGGCTGGGAAACAGGCATTTATTTCGGAGACAGGAGCAACAGCGGGATGGGGAGATGATAGAGGGCGCTTGCAGGTCTTGACAGAGATGACATGGTTCTGGGCTGGATGGGGCAGCAGCTCCCTCCCCAGGCCAGTTCTGGGCTGGGATTCTGGGAGCTGTTCCTGGAAGCTGGGTCTAGGGCTTGTGCCTCCAGTCTTTCCAACAGTTCTGCATGCTTTTGATTATTCCCAGTGCGTTCTCCTGCCTAACCTAGCTGGAGTGGATTCTGCTGTCTCTGAGAATCTGGATGGACTGATAGACCATGAGATGAGGTCTTAAAGGGATCTGGTTGCTGCTATGTCTTTCTCACCAACTGTCCAGAGCTCATTTATTCTCTGCTTCATAAAGGGCCAGAGCTCTCTAACTATCCTGCTGCCCTGCAAAGGACAGGTGATGACAACAAACAGAACAAAATTCCAGGGGATAAGAGGGGGAAAGTCCTGACAAAGCCCTGCACCCCAGCCTTGGGATGGCTTATTCTGAGATGGAGATGATGTTGCTTAAAAGCCTTGAAAGGTGAGGGGAGGCATTGTGTGCAGGACAGACAGCAAGTTGAGAGGCAGGTGCAAGATCTCAAGAAAGCTGTGTCCAGGAGGATGTCGGTGTGCTGTGCTGGAAGGATCTCGGACTGGGCATCTGGAGACCTTGGCCTGGACTCTGGCCTTGACACTGTGCAGCATGTGACCTGGGCTTACCTGTAAATTGAGTGCACTCTATTAAGTGTGTCATTTTTGTCTTGTAGCAGAACCTAGTGTGACTCTGACACTGGGTCAGAGGCTTGCAGGTATAGCCTGGGTTCCTGGAGTCCTCTATGGGCAAGGTATCCTCCTAGGGTCTGGCAGGAGCTCTGGCTTCTCCCAATCTGGTTAGGATTCTTGGGTTTCTTCTGAGCCCACAATCTGTCTTCTCCTTTCCTGTTCCAGTGTATGAGGTGGTCGTAGCCACGGGAGATGTTCGCGGTGCAGGGACAGATGCCAATGTCTTCATCACCATTTTTGGAGAGAATGGGCTCTCTCCCAAGCTCCACCTCACCAGCAAGTGAGTACCCATGCAGCCTGGATGGGGTGCTGGGCCAGTGCTCTAGGAAGGTATGGTTCTGTAGCTCAAGGTTGACTTGTGTCTCTGGGGAGAGGACAGATCTTCTCACAGGTTTATTAAGGGGTATGGGGCTTCTGCTAAAGACAGACCATGTATCAGGCAGTTATTTCCTGTGCCGTCCTATCAACTTGCCTTAGCCTCTCCCTTGACTGGGCAAGAATGCCTAATTAGATTTCAGAATTCCTAAGAAGCCCTTGATGTTAGAGAGTAGACACTCAGGACCAAGAAACCTGGGTGTAGGACCAGCTTCACCACTGACCTGCCATCTTTGGCCAAATCTCTTTGCACCCAAGGTCTCCATTTCCTTATCTGTTACCTGGAAGTAATGAATCCCCTTTTACCAAACTCACAGGGCTGTGGGGAGGAAGAAACGAGATCATTCAAGGCAGCTGTGAGTTTGACATGCTCTTCACAGCACTCTCACCCAGGGACCAGCATCAAACCCCCAGCCAACCTAACACACATGCAAGTCAGCATAACATGTCTGCTCAGGTGTGTGTGCTTATGTGTGTGTGTCTGTGTGAGTATTCGACATGTGCTTGTGCATGTGTATGTTTGTGTGCGTCTTTGTGCGTGAGTACTTGGGTGTGTGTTTGTGAATGTGTGTGTCATATCCTCCATTTTCTTACAACCCACTAGGAACAGGGACTGCTGTCTTCTTTTGGATCCTCTCCCTCCACTACACATGTGCACATACAAATGCACACATAGCAAAACACGAGAACACTTGAGCAGAATCATGGAGTCTCAGAGATGTTCAGGGTCCTACGGATAGTCTAGTCAGCTGGTTCCAGATTGCTCAGTGGAACAGGATATTGGTCAGTTGGTTCTGGGCCCACCATGTTCCCATGTTTTTAGAATTTTGGTCATCTTACCTACTGAGTTTCTGAGTCAATTCTATTTAACCCAAAGATTCTGCAGCCACCCCTCCCCCAGAAACCAAAACTAAAAAAACCACTAATCTATTTCAATCTATTCATCTTCCAGATGGGGAAACTGAGGCCCAGAGAGATGCAGTATGTAGTCCAAAGTCATGGAGCTGTTAGATGGTGAAGCTGGCCCTCAAGCCCTAGGCTCTGATGTAAATATTGTCCTTGGCTGTGTGGCCCTGAAGGGTCAATAGGAGACTTCCCTTAGGCTCTCCTGGGCCTCCAGGGGATGGCCTCTAGAGTTGATGGCTTAGCACCTCCAGGAGTATCAGTGGTAACCATAGAGGGTTGGGGTTCACAGGCCAGGATCCTCAAACTCTGTGCTGAGTAGACTGACCAGGCCCGTGTCAGTGGTTTATTTACTCAGAAGGTGGGCTACGATGTAAAGGCTACAGCCTCAAGGTAGGTGTAACGTCTGTTTTGTCCATTTCTGCAGAACAGGGTACCACCGTCTTGTACTGCTTACCCTGCTGAATGGGTTGCTTGTGGAAGTCTTTCCCTCGAATGATGTGGGCACGGTAAAGAGAATACATGAAATGCCCATTGTGTTTGCCATGCTCCCCGCCCGAGTGTCCCCCTGCAGGGAAAAGTCACCAGACACTGGAGTGTTGGCTAAGCTGGTTTCTGGAGGTCTAGTCTGTCTGTTTTTTTTAAAACAAAAAGGCCAGTTTTCTTCTTTCATGGTAGTTCCTCACTTTCTGTCCTCTTTTTATGCATCCAGTATCTTCAGATTTTCCCTCCTTATCTGTTTCACTTGTCAAAACAAGCTCCCAAGAGAACTTCTGTATGGTTTGTCACTGAGTCCCCTTTCCCAGGGCTTGACTTTTGTTTTTCCCTCAGTTGGGAATGAAAGGTTACCTCAACAGTAAAGAGGTCTAAGACATCAATGAACTGGTGGGCCCAGGAGGTCTTCCTAAAAACAAGCAAACATAACAAAACATTTGCTGTTGAGGTAATTACAACTCATGTACACCCCATGTGTGAAGAGTAGAACTACTCCATAGGGTTTTCAAGGCTGTGACATTTCAGAAGCAGATTGCCAGCCCTTTCTTCTGAAGTTGATAGTCACACCCTTAACTATTTGTACCACCCAGAGATTCCTGGAGGTCTTCCTGCTCTTGTGTGAAATCAAGTCAATTCTGACCCACAGCAACCCAATAGGACAGAGTAGAACTACCCTATAGGGTTTCCAAAATTGTAATCTTTATGCAAGCAGACTGCCACATCTTTCTACTGCAGTGCAATCCTACTGATAGGATTGAACCACTGACCTTTTGGTTAGCAGCTGAGTGTTTAACTGTTGTGCCAGCAGGGCTCCTGCAGTTACAGGTTGGCAGCCAGCTTCTCCAAGCCCAATGAACAGGAACCACCATCTCCTAGTTGCCTCATAAGTCAGCTGCCTCTATCTGTGCCATGTTCCAGGTTAGGCAGCAAGAGCATGGATCTGGGCAAGACCCCAAGTCTGGCTAGTGAGGAGGGCTCTATAGGAGCCCATAGCTCCCATGTCTTCAGAGGTGTGGGTCCAACTGGAAGCGTCAGCTGGATGGCCCCTAGAGAGGTGATGTTTAGGGAGATGGATGTATCTGGATGAGTAGGGTAGACATGAAGGTCTTCTTTGAAACTCTAGCATCTATCCCAGTTCTTTGCAAATAGTCAGAGCTCAGTCAATGTTAGTGGTTACAGTTGGCTAGAGTGAGACTAGCCAGCCGGGGTCATGAAGCGGTGTCAATGGGTAGAGAGGAAGCAGGTCAGAAAGGCAGGTTAGGACCACACTGTAGAGGCTTTGAAAGCTGATCAGTGGAGGCTCAACTTTCTTTTCTTTTTCTAACTTTTTATTGTGATTTGAGTGCATGTTTACAGAGCAGATTAGATTTCCATTCAACAGTTCATACACATTTCTTTTTTCATGACATTGATGAGGCTCGACTTTCTATGGTGGACCAGAAAGATGGATGCTCCCATGGTGAGCAGGACAAGTGGGATGGGAAGAGATCAGAAGCCAGGGAGACAGTTAAAAGGTGGCTGCAAGAACTGAGAAAACTCTACAAAGAGAATTTGTAGACCCAGACCCCATCACCATCTAAGATCTTTCCAATTCAAGATGGAGACCGTGAGCCTGGGAGGCAAGCATTGCCTTCTGTGGGATCCCAGGTTCCAGTGTAACCAGGTGCAGATGATAGTTGAGTGAAGGCTAGGTGAGACTGAGTTGCAGTCAGCTCAGCCCACTCTCACTCCATCCCTTCCCTGGGGTCTTGTGTCAAAGTCTCTTCTCCCCTTATTGTTTCTACCTCTCCACACTGTGTCAACCCAGCCTGAAACCAAGGTTCCTTTCCTTGTATACATGTGTATACACATGTGTTATTAGTCAGTGGATTAGAGAAAGGAATAAGTAAATGAGGGTCCACTGGAGGAGGAGGCAGGCAGCTACTTCTGGGGGTCAGTTTCCATCTTGAATTGGAAAGATCTTAGATGGTGAGGACTGGGTCCGGTTCCACAAATTCTCTTTGTAGAATTTTCTCCGTTCTTGCAGCCACCTTCTAACTGCAGCCTCTGGCCATGTCTCTTACCTGCCTTTCTCCGCAGCCTCTCCCTTGTCCCCTCTTTTCTATCTCACCTCTCAATTCCTACTCATTCTGATGGTCCATCCCATCCTTGAGGGTTTATCAGAAAATTTTCACCCCCAAATGGCTTATCAGATTTCTTTTTCAATACAAAGGTATTTCCTGCTCCAAGAGAAACTTTGGTCTCAGATGTTAAAATGGTGATTTTTTCCCACCCTCATGGCCTGGTGACTAAATTCTTTGTATGCACTGGACCTCATCTGACAGCAGAGGGTGTGGTGTGCTCTTTGGATTCTCCTATTAGCTTTTCCACCTTGAGCTTCCCCTCCACCCCCAGTTACATGCCAACAATATGGCCCCAAGAGGAAGCCCCACTCTTCTGGATTCACTTGTTCCCTTCCCAGTTATCCGGCATCACCTGCACACTGGGCCACCAGTTCAGATTATGGCAAAAGGATGGGATTTCATGTATCTTTCAAAAAGGTTTTCCCGTTGAGCATTCACTACTTCAGACTGTCAGGGAAGGCCTGGCATCTTACCTGCTGGCTCTGCCTGGCTGGCGGCTAAGATGCCTTGTGCTGCCGGGAGGGGTCTCTGCTGGGTGATGGGCACTGAACGGGGCTGCAATCACCTTTATCTGACCGTCACTAAGGAGCCACAGTGGCCACAGCTTCCCACAAGGAAACGTGAAGAAGTTTGTTTATCTAATGTTTCCTTTGGCCACGAACCCCCTGTTCTTAGCTATTCCCACCTACCCCAGTCAATTTTCTGAAACACACAGGAGTTTAGATTCTAATTTCCCAGAAGTTGGGATTTCAGAATCTGGTCCCTAGTGGGTTGGGAATGTGGTTTGGAATTATCCTGGCACCTCCTCAAGTTAAGGGAGTTAGAGTAGTCCTGTTTCTGTAGCCTCTTTCTTTCTTTCCCCTGAAGACACCACCATGACCCTTTGTCTTCCATCTTGTAAACATGGTAGGAGATTGGTTCACATCCCATAATATAGAGAAATGTTCCTGTGTGGTTCTCAGACACAGTGTGTAGATCTACCGCTGCCTCTTTCTTGGACCCCATCCCCCAGTAGATCTTTCTCCCCTGGCTTCCGTCCTTCCATCTGCCCCCTTCCCCGACTCCCCACATCTACACATGGGACTGGGACTGTTGATTATTTAACACCCTGGATGATTATTTAACAAACAAATAGGAACTTGTGCATCCAAATTCAACCCAGTCACGTGAGGAGGTAACTGGGTTCTTCAATAGGCTTTTCTGGATGGGTGGGACCCTCTTAACTAAATGGCCCCTGTTGGAGCTTTTCTTTCAGAAGTCCTGTCAAAGACACCCCAGAAAGCCTGCTTTCCTTCCAAGTTACACCTCATCTTTGGCTAAAAATGGGAATGCTTAGGCTCCTCTTCCTCTGTTTGTTGGTGTGGGTCCCAGATCCACGTGCTCTCAGAAGATGAAGTCCACCAACACCCGAGCCTGTTCCAAAGTCTGCCACAGGCAGCCTGCTGGTGGTTGCGGAAGGATGATGGGGCAGCTGAGACAAGGGGTGGTGCTTTGGTCATAACTAGAAACACAAAGCACGTTCCCCTCAGAAAATTTAAAAAATATATAGGCAAGGACAAAGACCCAACACTTTATTTTTACTATCTAGACTCAGCATTTTTGTATAAATCCCTTCCACTGTATTGTTTTTAAATGAAATTGATATCCCATTTGTATTGATTGTGCTGTTGCCATGTTCTGTTTTTAACCTGCTTTTTCTTTTAAGCATATGTCATACACACATTTCTGTTTCATTATATATATATATATATATATATATATATTTGTGGTAAGTATATATGTCACAAAACACACGCCATCTCAGCATTCTTCACATGTACAGTTCAGTGACATTAATTCTGTTCATCATGTTGTTCAACCACCACCTTTACCCACTCCCAAATTATACCAAAACCTTAATGGAAGCTAAATATCCCCTAAGCACTGGGTCCTCTTTCCCCCTTCCCTCTTGCCTGCCCCCAGTATTATTCTATAATATGATTTTTAATGGCTCCATGACATTCCACCACATAGCTGCCCAAGGTGACTGCTTCGTAAGGTATTTATTTGATGTAGAGACTCATGGCTGTTTATTTTAGAACTCAGTTGCCTTGTCTTGCATATTGAAACTAAAAAAATCCCTCTTATTCATTTCTTTCTTCTCCATTCACACAGCCCTGATGTGCAGAGTCGAGGTTCACATATTTTCCAATTCATTTAGTTGTTGTGACTTTGAACCTAAACACAAGGTGTGTCATTCACCCTCAATAGTGAGGTTGGGAATTCCAACGTCAGCCTTGATTTGGTTGAAATGTGGTCCCTGAATAGTAACAACTCCCCACCAAACAATCATAAGTTACCTTCTCAGGGGCCTTCATCTCCCACCCCACCTTCCTCTAACAGTACTAGTTGCTGTTGAGTTGATTTTGACTCATGGTGACCCCACGTGTGTCAGAGTAGAACCATACGTCATAGGATTTTCAACAGCTGATTTTTAAAAAGTAGATCATCAGGCTTTTCTTCTGATGTACTTCTGAGTGGATTGGAACCTCCAACCTTCCAATTAGCAGTCAAGTGTGTTAACCATTGCCACCACCCAAAAAACATTATCTGGACTCTATTGGAAGCATTTTTGTCCACATGACTGCCAGGAAGGAGCTTGTGAAGGGTCCAGTAAGTTTATTTTCCCAGGAAGGAGGATTTCTCTTCATGGAGGAGGTGTCTTATTTTCCTTGCTCTTCCTCCAGCACTAACAGAAGACATTCACCATCTTTATTAAGCAAAGGGTGGAGTAGAGACTCTGTGACCAGTGCCTTGTCTCCGCCTCTCCCTCCCTCTGGGGCTGCAACGTGAGCCTTAGTTTCATGCAGTGAGCCCTGCTAGACCCAGGGAGTTCTACCACCCTCTCCTCCTTGCTCTTTTCTGCCCTAGCTGCCCCCGTAGGATCTCCTTTCCCTGATGACTCATGTTCATTTTAACGCTGAGCTCTGCACTGCTCTAAAAGGGCCTTTGATTCCATATCTCATGCTCCATCCTCTAAAGGAAATTTCGGCCCAGGCAGATTATTTGCTGAAGTGGGCCATTTTGCAGATTTGTGCTTCTGGGTTTAAGGAGTCTGAGCCTTGTGCCCTGAGAAGACCATTCCCTCCCCTTTATTTTGAAACACATTGATGGTCAATGAATAGGCATATGTGTTTTCTGTTCCAATGGGCCGTGTGCTGCTCCTGAGAGCCCTGGCTCTTCTGAGCGAGGTCTATAGCTCTCAGGACCATGGGACTTCACTGCTGGGGCAGGAAGAGCAGTTTGCTGCCTGGCTTGAGTGGCTGGGGTCCTGCCTTGCTGCACAGAGGACAGAGAAGATGTCGACGTGAGTGTCAGGCTTCCACTCCTGGAGGATGCTGTGGCACAGCTGCTCCAGCCCTTCCTGTGTTTCAGCTGCTTGTCTTTAGGATGCTGCCATGTCTGGACGTGCCTGGGCACCTCACTGCTGAATGTCTCAGGTGTACTTTCCTCTGTTCACACTGTTTGCAGGATGCCAGCTGTGCACTTCCCTCACTATCCCCACTTCCTTGGTTGTTGGCTTGGGGTTGGGTGTTTCCTTTCTTGTTAGAATGGCAGGACCATGGGCAACCACCCAAGGTTTGCATCCACTTGGGGCTGCCATTGCAACTCTTCTAGGCAAGAGCCAGGCAAGCGAGGTGGAGAGGCAAGGAGGCCGGCAGATCCAAGAGCACTGAGGTCTGTATCACATTTTCCTTCCTCCTCCGCATTCCCAACTCAGAGCAACCACAGGGTGTTGGATCACAACTCTGGAGAGCCTGATTCTAGCTACCAACTCGTTTATAAAATGGGGCTAATAATGCCTGCCATGCTTGCTTTCGACGTGCGGCAAGGATCAAGTGAAAGCCTGGCTGTGAAAGGAAGGAGGAGTTGGTTACCGTCTTGGCCCTTCTCCTCTCCAAAGCCCATCAGAATGGAATCTCAGATGGCACAAATTTGCTCGTGGTGCTTCCCTGGAGTGGGATGGCGGAGGGAGAAGGGGCTGCTCCTTGCTTCTCCTCCCCAGCCTGGGAGCCAAGTGCTGGTCTGCGCTAATGGTGCATGTGCTCATTGCAGGAGTGAGTCTGCTTTTGAGAAAGCCAATGTTGACGTCTTCCGGGTGAGAACCAACAACGTGGGCCTCATCTACAAAATCAGGTAAAAAATGGCCCCTGCCCTCATCTTTCTCTTGCAGAGCGGCTGGTGGGTTTGAGCTGTAAAACTTTTGGTTAGTAGCTGCAAACCTTAACTGCTGCACCATCAGAGCTCCTCTTTGTTTCTTTAGGTTAAGACAAATCAAGACATTTTTTTCACATACTTGAGAAGTATGCTTTAGGAGACACTGTAGCATAGTGGTTAGGAGCTCAGACTTGGAGTTCAGATTGTTGTTAGGGATCACTGAGTTGGTTTTGACTCTAGCAACCCCATATGACAGAGCAGAACTACCCCTAGGGTTTTCTAGACTGTAATCTTTACAGTAGGGGCCCTGGTGACATGGTGGTTAAGGCACTAGGCTGCTAACCAAACAGTTGATGGTTCAAACCCACCAGCCACTCCATGGGAGAAAGATGTGGCAGTCTGCTTCTGTAAGGGTTTACAGCTTTGGAAACCCAAGGGGCAGTTCTACTCTATCCTCACAGGGTCGCTATGAGTTGGAATTGATTCAATGGCAATGGGTTTGGTTTGGTTTTTGGGAATCTTAACAAGAGCAGATGCCTGGGTTCAAATCTCTGCTCTGCTGTTTACTAGTTAGGGGACCCTGGACAGGTTACCTCTCCAAGTCTGTTTCCTCATCTGTAATAACAGTGTCTACCTCCTAGTTAGTGAGAATGCAATGAGCGAAAGTTCTTGGAACAGCCACTGGCACACAGTAAGGAGCAAGAGAGTGTTAGAGAGCACAGGTCACATGGCAGGATGCTGCTTCACTCAGTCTCTCTGGGACTTTTTGTGAATGTATAGGAAGGACATCTTTATCCAGCCTCATTGCAGAAGAAGAGCCTTCAATTTTCCCTTATTTGCCCTCCTCCCCTGCCACCCTCCTCCATTCATGTCATGCCCTACAAGTCAGATGACCTGACTGGTCTTCTGCCTTCTGTTTATTTCTCTGTTGTTATCCCTCCCTTTAGTAAAGTCTTTTGTCTTTTTTTTTGTTTTTAATTTTTATTGTGATTTAAAGAGCACTGGTGGTGTAGTGGATAAGGCACTTGGCTGCTAAACAGAAGGTCAGTGGTTCAAACCCACTAGCCGTTCCACAGAAGAAAGATGGAGTGATCTACCTCCGTAAAGATTTACAGCCTTGGAAACCCGATGGGGGTCACTATGAGTCAGAATTGACTCTATGGCAGTGAGTTTGAGTTTCATTGTGATTTGGGTGAAAGTTTATAGAGACAATTCATTTTCCATATAGTAGTTCAAATATATTTTGTTTCATGACATTGATTTTGGACATTTGGATTTTGGGGGTTTGCAATCCCTACAGTGTAACAGCTCTTTTCCCACTTTCCTCCTGTAGTTACCTCTTCCCTGTGGCTTCTTTCCTATGTATTCTTGCCCCCTGAACTATCTTCCTGTGCAAACACTGCCCTTCCGGTCTCCCATGATTAATCATTCTAAGGAGTGTACCTACCTGATGTAAATCTTCACCCTACATGCCTTCTTACTGTTTGGCTTTCAATGGGAGTGAGTTCAATTCCAGGCCTGAAGAGTAACTAGGGGCCATAGTCTCAGGGGTCTCACCATACTCTTATCAGACCAGTAAACCTGTTTTTTCTTTCTTTCTTTATTTATTTACTTTTATGGTTTTGAGTTTTATTCCACACAGGATCTCCTTTAGCAAAGTCTTGAACTGTCTTGTTTGGTCTTGACTCAGATGGGCTTCAGGCAGTGGTGTGTATGTGCTTGGGCCAGAGTGTGAAGGGGATGGGAGCAATGCTTTCAGAGGCCAAGATTAGGAAATGCCACTCATCAGGGAGAACATCAAAGGAGAAGATCACAATGGTCCCACTGCAAGCCCTGGCCACTCAGATGTTCTTCACTATGGAAGGCAACGTTTCCTTGCAGGCAATGCAACAATGTAATATGTGCACTTACCATTAGGGCACACCTTGATGAGGAAACTGAGGAAACTGAGCTTCAGAAAGGTAAGGTATTAACAGCAATAACAGAATGATAGGACATCTTTTTGGAGTAGGCATTTGTACTCCAGTATGGAAGATGATGTCATCTCAGTTCTGCTGATGACTGTGTGCGTATCTGCTTCTACTCCAGAATCGAGCATGACAACACAGGCTTGAACGCTAGCTGGTACCTGGACCGTGTGATTGTGACCGACATGAAGCGGCCTCACCTCCGTTACTATTTCAACTGCAACAACTGGCTGAGCAAAGTGGAGGGCGACCGACAGTGGTGTCGTGACCTGCTGGCCAGCTTCAACCCCATGGACATGCCTAGAGGTCAGTGTGTAGGCTGCTCCAAATGGTGACCTGCTTTCTACTCCTCCTTGGCCAGGCAGGGTTCACCCTGGCCTCTGTCTTGCTTTAGGCATTTCTACCTCCTCCTCTCTACTCCTCCAGGTGAGCCAGGGTGAGGTCCCATCTCTTCTTTGTGGATTTCCCATGAACAAGCTTTTGTCATGTGAGGTTTGATGGGAAGATGAGAGCAGCCCTGTGTACATCTTGTGTTCAACCCTCCTTGTTGATAGGTGTCTAGCAAGAGTCTCCTCTGAGTTCACAGGCAGTCTTCCTTGTTTCCTTGTCTTTCTTATGATGCTTAAGGACAGTGTGTGGTTCCGCTGGGTCACACCCAGAGCATGGTGGATGATAATCTGGCTCTCAGCTTCCAGGGTTCCATCATGTCTCCCTGCCCCTGAATCCTCCACATTTCATGAGAGAAACAACTGATCTTAAGCGATGCTGTTGTTATATGCCGTCGAGTCAGACCCGACTCATAGCGACCCCCTCCTTGGGTTTCCGAGGCAGTATTATTACGGAAGTAGATTGCCCAACCTTCCCTCCGAGGAGTGGCTGGTGGGTTTGAACCGCCAGCCTTCTGGTTAGCAGTCAAGTGCCTTAGGCACTATGCTACCAGAGTTCCTTCTTAAGTGATATCTCTGGTCAAAGTCCTTCGAACCAGTCATGTTAGCTCTATAAGAATAATAAGGCAGGGGAGAGGCAAAGCATATAGAAACACACACTGTATCCCATGTCCTATATTATCACACTTTTGTCCCCCAAACACGTACTCTGCCCATTACTGAACATTTGCCTCTCCAAAAACATTAAATGCAGGTACTGGTTGCTGTTGAGGTGTCCCAACCCATGGTGACCTCGTGTGTGTCAGAGCAGAACTGTGCTCCATCGAGTTTTCAATGGTTGATGGTGCTGATGTAGATCACCAGGACTTTCGTCTTTAAAAATTTTTTATTGTGATTTGGGCAAAAGTTTACAGAACAAAGTCATTTTCCATACAGTAATTCAAACACATTTTGTTTCATGACATTGCAATTCCTAACAATGTGACAGCTCCCTTCCCACTTCCTCCCTGTAGTTACCTCTTCCCTGTGTCCTTCTTCCCTGTGCATTCCTGCCCCCTGTGCTATCTCCCTGTGCAAATACTACCCTTCTGGTCTCCCATGGTTGATCATTCTAAAGAGTGTATCTACCTGATGTAAATGTTGAGCCTGTATGCCTATTTATTGTTTGGCTGAAAACAATAGGAGGAGTTCGATGCCAGAACTGAAGGATAACTAGGGGCCATAGTCTCAGGGGTCTCACCAACTCTATCAGACCAGTAAACCTGGTCCTTTTTTAAAAAAAAAATTATTTTGTGTTCTGTTCCACATTGTTCTCCCACTCTATCCAGGATCTCCTGCACTGATCCCTTTCCAAGTGGTTGATCTTTCCAGGCTGGGCACCATCTAGTTTTTCTTGCCTCATGGCCATAAAGGCTGAGGTTCACATGGTCCACTAGTCCCTTGGACTAATTGTTTCCATGTGTCTTAGTTTTTCTTTGCTCATTCTTCTTTGGTCTGGATGAGGAGAGACCAATTGTTGCATCTGGATGGCCACTTGCAACCTTTTAAGACCCCAGTCATTACTTACCAAAGTAGGATGTAGAACAATGTTTTTATGTAGTATGTTATCCCAATTATGGAAGGAAGATTGGGTGTTCTGGTTACCTAATGGCACTCTGACAGGAATATACCACAAATGAGATGGCTTGAACAAACAGGAGTTTATTCTCTTACAGTTTGGAGGATTTAACTTTGAGTCCAAAGTGCCAGACTCTAGGGGCTGGGTGAAAGCCCCTCAACCTTGGGCTTCAGCTCTACCTCCTGCTCCCGGCCCACTGAAGCTAGAAGCTTTTCTTCACTCAGACAGCTGCTGGCTATTGAGACTGACAAGCCCAAGGTTGACAAGTAAAAAGGCACAGTCCTAATGTTACCAAGCCACACAGCAGGCCATTAATTCAAGCCCATTGAAGGTTCCAAGGTCAGCAGAGCATGGCAGGCTGCTGAACAACAACCTGGCTACATGCAGGGTTCAAGCATGCTGCAGGCTACAGACCATTCCCAAAGCTGCTTCTTATATATGAGAAGCAGACTTCATTCCTAAAGCAGCTACTTAGCTGCTTGTGTTAGATCCCACCATGGAGCTGATTGCCAGTCTTATCATGGGGAATAACTACCACCAGCTGCCCAGCCACTCAACCAGGCCCAGACAAGTTGACAAACAACCTTAATTACCACATTGGGCAATCTACTTCCATAGTGATACCACCTTGGAAACTCAAGGAGGGGTCGCTATGATTCGGATTGGACTCAACAGCAGTGAGTTTGGTATTTTTTTTTTTTGTTGTTATGCCAATTGAGTTTGATGTCCCCTGTGACTGTGGTGTTGAGCCTATGGGTCCAACTAGTTGCTCCTTCAGGATGTTTGGCTGTGGCTAAGAAGTTATTATAACTTTGCCTCCTGTTAGCTCTATTATATATATGGACATTTTTATAGTACGTACAAATATGTATGTAGAACTATCATCAGCCAATCTTCTGTATGGTCATGGGTCCATTCCCTTTTGCCTAAATATACCTGATCATTCAGGTCTTTCTTTTTTTTTTTTTT